TCTCAAAGAACAAAAATGATCACAATTTGCCTGATGTGAAATAGATTATTTGAATAATCATAGAAAAATAAAGGAAATTTAATTCATAGTTTTAAAATCTATGAAAAATAAATATCTAGGCCCATATGGTTTCACTGGATAATTCAACCAAAGAATAATTAACACCAATTCTACACAATAACCTCCAGAAAATAGAAAAGGTGAGAAAACTTCCCAATTAATTTCAGGAAATTTTAAACCTAATACCAAACTCAGACAAATGAAGTATGAAAAAGAGTATTATATATCCATATTCATCTTGAATATCAAAAATCATTATTATAAAATTATCTAATAGGTCTCAACAACATATAAAAAGAATGGTACATGATGACCAAGTGAAATTTATTCCAGAGATGCAAGTGGAGTCACTATTTGAAATCCATCAGTGAAATCCAATGAAATCTTAACACATTAAGAAATAAAAAATCACATGATCATATCAATCAATGCAGAAAAAAGCATTTGACAAAATCTAACAATCATTCATAAGGGAAATCCTCAGAAAAATAGGAATAGAAGGAATTTACCTTAATTTGGACAGAGTATTGTCATAGTCTACTAAGGCTGCCATAACAAAGTACTGCAGACTGTGTGGCTTAAGCCACAGAAATTTCTTTCTTACAGTTACTGAAGCTGGAAGTCCAAAATCAAGGCAGGTTTAATTTCTCCTGAGGCCTCTCTCCCTGGCTTACAGTTGGCCACCTCCTTGCCATATCCTCACATGGACTTTTCTCTTTCCTTATGGATGCCTGATGTCTCCTCTCATCTTCTTACAAGGACATCAGTCAGGTTGAATTAGGGCCTACTTATGAACTCATTTAAACTTTTATCACTTCAAAGGTCTTGTCTCCAAATACAGTCACATTGAGGGTTAGAACTTGAACCTCATTTGGAACAAACATGATTCCATCCATAATAATCACCTAAAAAAAAACTTACAGCTAACATTATTCCTAATAGTGTAAGCCTGAATGCTTTCCCCTTAAGATGGAGGACAAGGTAAGTGTGTCCATGCTCACCATTCTTATTCAACATGGTGCTGGGCTTTCTAGACAATGCAATAAGCGAGAAGAGGAAATTAAAGGCATACTGATTAGAAAGCTGAAGGGTCCCTATTTAGGGACGACAAGGTTATCTATGGAGAAAAATCCCAAGAATTTTGCACATGTACATACACATAACAGAACATTCCAACAAGATATTTTATAGTTATAAAGAAGATTACTCTAAATTTTTTTAAATGACATCAGCAAAATGGTGAATTGGTGGTATTCTACTATCTCTTCCCCTAAAAGAGCACTGATTTTGACATTTGCCCATGGACAACATGCTTTTGGTGAAGATCTGGAATCTAATAGAGAAGATCAGGCACACAAATGGAGCAAAACAATTCATGTTTATACACTTTGAAGAAGGTTAACAGAAACAGTTTTCACTTTACCCACCTCCCCCTCCCCCAAGGTGGCACATCTTCTTGGCCTGTGATCTCCTATGGGGGAAAGTGAAAGCATATAAGTGAGTACTCAGTATCCCCAGCTGTGCAAAATGCTGCAATGAAACCATTCTTCCTTGCCCCATCCAGAAAATATGAAGTGAACTTCACAGCTCAGAGTTAGAAAGTGGCTGGGAGAACAGGAGCCAGGGCTCTTGGAAGATGTCAAAATTATGTGGATCCTCTAACTGCATCACAGACTCCATCAGGAAGCCCACCCATGAGCCACTGGGGATGTCTCACCTGTAGATTCCCCAGCTGTCCCGTAGGCACCCCCAACACTCCAAGTGTCCCACTCACACATATACCCACTCCATTGTCTGTCCCTGTGAGCATCCCTAAGGGCAGTGAGCACAAGCCTTTGTGGATGGCTACTGAGCATATGCAGAAAGCCACCCCAAATCTGAAGGAAAGGAAGGAAGCACATACACTTGAATATTTGGCTCTGCCCTAGGGAAAACAAACAGGAGGCTATTAGCACCCAGCCTGGCTTTGCAGAATCAAAAGCAGGAGCTGCAGTGCCTGCCTCCACTGCCAGGGCCGGTGTGCCAGGCACACATGGAGGAGCCTCTGTGTTATGCCCCTTAAGCTGCCATCAGTGGAGCCAACCTCGGCCTGGCTTGGCACGATGGCAGAGGTAGTAGGTTTGCAAACTGGTACCTGCTGGCAGAAGGAGTGGAAGGCTGCATATTTCAGTGGGTTGCCTCAGTGGGTCACCAGCCAGGGGGTGGAGTGCCTGAACTTGCTGTGCTGAGTGTGCCAGTACGATTTTGTCCATCTATCCTTTCTGCTGAACAGCAAGCTCTATGTAGTCCTTACCCCTTTAGCAGCCCTCTCACTGTTGGGAAGTCTTTCAAAGTACCCCCCTTTCTTTTGTCTTGGGGTGGCCATGTGGGTACCTGTTGTTTACAAGTGGCTGGAATCTTAGTCTTTCTGAGTACTCCCCTTGTCTTTGCTTTCCAACCCCACTTATCTCCAGAGAACTATGTAATGTGGGTTCATGCTTCTTGAGCCTATCTCCAGGGCTGAGTTCTCAGCAGGCCTAGGCCTGTACCCCCTCCCTGCTCTGTTCCTCTTCCTCCTGCCAGTGAGCTGGGGTGGAAAGAGGGCTTGAGTCCTGCTGGATAATGTCTTTGCTACTTTACCCTTTTCAGTGAGGTGTTCTTTTTCCCCCAGATATAAGCATTTTGTCATAGTCTTCTTTCTAGTTTCTCTTTCAGGATTTGTTGTATTTGCTATATTTTCTTATTATATGTGGTTTTGGGAGGAGGTTTCTCTCTCACTTCTCATGCTGTCATCATTAAGCCATTCCTCCTAACCAATTTATATTTAATGTAATTATTAATAGGTAAGGACTTACTAATGCCATCTTACTGTTTTATTGGTGTTTTGTAGAGCCCCTGTTCCTTTTTCCCTCTCTTGCTCTTTCTTTATGAATTGATGATTTTGCATAGTGGTATGCTTTGATTCCCTTTTCTTATCTTTTGTGTATCAATTGTAGGTTTTCGCTATATGAATACCATGAGGCTTACATATAGATATAATGGTCTTTTTTATGCTGACAGCAACTTAACTATAAACACATACAAAACCATTTACTCTTTTATCCCACCATTTTATGCTTTTGATGTCACAATTTGCCTCTTTTTATGTTGTGTATCTATTAAAAAATTATTATAGCTACAGTTATTTTTAATACTTTTATCCTTTAACCTTTGTACTAGCGCTAAGAGATTAACACATTGCTATATTCTACTATTAGAATATTTTGAATTTCACTATATGCTTACTTTACTATTGTGTTTTATATTTTCATGTTACTAATTAGCACCCTTTAATTTCAACTTGAAGGACTTGTGTCAGCATTTCTTGTAAGGCAGGTGCAGTGATGATGACCTCCCTCACCTTTCGTTTGTCTGGGAATGTCTTCATCTTTTCTTTTGTTTCTGAAGGACAGTGTTGCTGGATAAAGTGTTCTTGGTTGGCAGGTTTTATTTTTCTTACATGACTTGAATGTAAATTGACAAATTAAATGGACCACTTCTCAAAGAACAAAAATGATCACAATTTGCCTGATGTGAAATAGATTATTTGAATAATCATAGAAAAATAAAGGAAATTTAATTCATAGTTTTAAAATCTATGAAAAATAAATATCTAGGCCCATATGGTTTCACTGGATAATTCAACCAAAGAATAATTAACACCAATTCTACACAATAACCTCCAGAAAATAGAAAAGGTGAGAAAACTTCCCAATTAATTTCAGGAAATTTTAAACCTAATACCAAACTCAGACAAATGAAGTATGAAAAAGAGTATTATATATCCATATTCATCTTGAATATCAAAAATCATTATTATAAAATTATCTAATAGGTCTCAACAACATATAAAAAGAATGGTACATGATGACCAAGTGAAATTTATTCCAGAGATGCAAGTGGAGTCACTATTTGAAATCCATCAGTGAAATCCAATGAAATCTTAACACATTAAGAAATAAAAAATCACATGATCATATCAATCAATGCAGAAAAAAGCATTTGACAAAATCTAACAATCATTCATAAGGGAAATCCTCAGAAAAATAGGAATAGAAGGAATTTACCTTAATTTGGACAGAGTATTGTCATAGTCTACTAAGGCTGCCATAACAAAGTACTGCAGACTGTGTGGCTTAAGCCACAGAAATTTCTTTCTTACAGTTACTGAAGCTGGAAGTCCAAAATCAAGGCAGGTTTAATTTCTCCTGAGGCCTCTCTCCCTGGCTTACAGTTGGCCACCTCCTTGCCATATCCTCACATGGACTTTTCTCTTTCCTTATGGATGCCTGATGTCTCCTCTCATCTTCTTACAAGGACATCAGTCAGGTTGAATTAGGGCCTACTTATGAACTCATTTAAACTTTTATCACTTCAAAGGTCTTGTCTCCAAATACAGTCACATTGAGGGTTAGAACTTGAACCTCATTTGGAACAAACATGATTCCATCCATAATAATCACCTAAAAAAAAACTTACAGCTAACATTATTCCTAATAGTGTAAGCCTGAATGCTTTCCACTTAAGATGGAGGACAAGGTAAGTGTGTCCATGCTCACCATTCTTATTCAACATGGTGCTGGGCTTTCTAGACAATGCAATAAGCGAGAAGAGGAAATTAAAGGCATACTGATTAGAAAGCTGAAGGGTCCCTATTTAGGGACGACAAGGTTATCTATGGAGAAAAATCCCAAGAATTTTGCACATGTACATACACATAACAGAACATTCCAACAAGATATTTTATAGTTATAAAGAAGATTACTCTAAATTTTTTTAAATGACATCAGCAAAATGGTGAATTGGTGGTATTCTACTATCTCTTCCCCTAAAAGAGCACTGATTTTGACATTTGCCCATGGACAACATGCTTTTGGTGAAGATCTGGAATCTAATAGAGAAGATCAGGCACACAAATGGAGCAAAACAATTCATGTTTATACACTTTGAAGAAGGTTAACAGAAACAGTTTTCACTTTACCCACCTCCCCCTCCCCCAAGGTGGCACATCTTCTTGGCCTGTGATCTCCTATGGGGGAAAGTGAAAGCATATAAGTGAGTACTCAGTATCCCCAGCTGTGCAAAATGCTGCAATGAAACCATTCTTCCTTGCCCCATCCAGAAAATATGAAGTGAACTTCACAGCTCAGAGTTAGAAAGTGGCTGGGAGAACAGGAGCCAGGGCTCTTGGAAGATGTCAAAATTATGTGGATCCTCTAACTGCATCACAGACTCCATCAGGAAGCCCACCCATGAGCCACTGGGGATGTCTCACCTGTAGATTCCCCAGCTGTCCCGTAGGCACCCCCAACACTCCAAGTGTCCCACTCACACATATACCCACTCCATTGTCTGTCCCTGTGAGCATCCCTAAGGGCAGTGAGCACAAGCCTTTGTGGATGGCTACTGAGCATATGCAGAAAGCCACCCCAAATCTGAAGGAAAGGAAGGAAGCACATACACTTGAATATTTGGCTCTGCCCTAGGGAAAACAAACAGGAGGCTATTAGCACCCAGCCTGGCTTTGCAGAATCAAAAGCAGGCATACAATCTTAAGAATTCTCTCCAAAAGGAAAGAAGATGTATGAAGTAAATGTCTGGGAAAAAAAACTCAGAATCTGTAGCAGGGCTTAAGGAAGGTATTTCTTTCCTGAAGCCAATGAATAAACATGGAGGGAGGAGACTGCTTCTTTAAATGTGAAGAAAGCAACACAAAACTTCAAAGAACATGAAAAATCAAGGAAACATATAACACCACCGGTAGAACACAATATTGTCCCAGTAACTTACCCTGAAGAAATGTAGATCTGCGATTTGGCGGACAAAGAACCCAAAATAGTTGTTTTAAGGAAGCACAGTGAGCTACAAGGAAACACAGAAAGATAATTCAACACAAATCATGAAAATACATGAACAAAGTGAGAAGGTTAAAAGATACAGAAATCATAAAAAGAACCAAAGACAAACTCTGAACTGAAGAATATAATGAATGAAATGAAAAATTCAACAAGAGGATCAATAGATGTGAACAAACAGAAGAAAGGGTTTGTGAAGAAAAAGATCCTTCACATCACAATCTGTTTTTAACACGATTCCAGGTCATTCTTCACACTGAATACTGGGAAGCACTGATAGAGCTGATAACAGGCCCACTGACCTTTAGGAGCCCTGGAATTGGCTGAACAGCACAAAAGGAAGAAAATACCAGTTGGGGCCTAGGCTAGTAACCCACCTACCACTTACACTCAAATATTCCACAAATACTCAGTTTGCATTTTTCTTCAATCCAAATCCTCAATTATTTAGTAAAGCTTCCCCAAAACTGCCAGATTAGATGGTTCTCTTTTGAGAAAGGGTCAATATTTGCCCATTCAAATGAATGTCGCTATAGCCTTCCATCAAGCATCTGCCCAAAGGTAATGAATGCCACCAGTACCATTTGTTTAAAAACTGAACGTAAACAGATACTTTTTCCTGGAGAGCCCAACAGGAGAATTTATCCTTCTTTACCTGAGAAAGTTTTAGTTACTTGCATTTGAGATTCCAAGGCAGTCTCAGCAATACAATTAATTTTAATCAGGACTCTAAGTTTGTCATCCAATCCAATTATTCTAAATTAAGTGATTGTGTATTTCACTTCCTTATCAAATGATTGTCGTTACTTATTATCAAGTAAACTCAATATGTGATGATTTCATTAATAAGACAATGCCTGATGTTCAGAAGCCATGGTTTTATTCAGGGGCCCATCTCCTAGGCACCTTTAAATGCTGTGAAATCAAAGCAAAACAAAGATATTTATCAAATTTCTGGATGACAGGTACTGTACTGGGAATGTTAGGACAAAGGAAAATATATAAGGCAAATGCTGTCTTCAAAGCCCTTATATGTATCTGAGATAGGCAGCATGTGTAACTGGGTATGAAAACCATTTAGTTAAATGCTGGAGGGTGAAGGAGGACTGGGCCGGAAGGTTTTGTGGTGGAAGCAGGATTTGTGTCTTTGGAATTCTGTCAAGCACAGAGCTAATTAGGTGAAGCCTCATAACCACTGACATTAGGAACATCTAGGATCCTTGTTAGAGGCATGCCTCCTTGGACCCCAGCTCAGCCTACTGAGTCAGGATCTCTGGGGCATGGGTCCAGGAATCTTATTTTTAATAAGATGATTAATTTAATAAAATGATTCATATACACAGGAAGTATGAGATTCACTGATTCAGGGCTAAGAGAAAGGTGTCTGACTCTAAAGCCCAAAATGACATTTCCGGTTTCCACTCACTAGCTTCATAACCTTAGGGAAATTACCAGTTTCTGAATCTCAGTTTTCCCATCTTTAAAATGGTGGTAAAATGCCCACATTGCACAAGGTTGTTACAAGAACTGAATCTGACAGCTTAGGCCTGGGCACAGCAGGCCTTCACAAATGGTAGCTTAAGGAATGCAAGGCAAGGAAGTGCAAAGGGAAGGACATTCTACATGGGACATATTTTACTCAGATTAGGAAGTGGAGGGACTCTCAGAAGGCCAAAACTATCCCACTTTGCCCAGGACTGGAGAGTTCCCTGGCCTGTAGAGAGGGAGCAGAACTTACCCTAGGAAGTAGTGTGACTGTGGAGGATGGCTTGGGCCAGGGTGTACAGGGCTGCTCTGCCAGCTCAGCAAGGCCGTCTTTGTTATGTGTGAGGCTTGGCTTCACATTTTATCTGCAATTGTAAGCTTGTTCTACTGCAAGCTCATGAGAAGGTACTGTTGTTTACTTGGAGTTTTTTCTCAGCCCTGTACCAGGTGGGGCTTAGCTCATGTTGAAATCATATCATGAACTCAACCCAGAGCACTGTGGGAAGGGGCAGAAAACTACTGCTTTTAATTGTAGTGGTCACTGTGGGTGCTTATCTGACAGCCATTCCCAGCTCCTTGTTTGCTTGCTTCCCACTATCAAGTTTCCCTTGCAGCTTATGCAGTGCAGTACGATATCTGTCAGTGGCCTTGCAGGTAGGAGAGCTTCCCTTTTCAGGAAGACAGACATGTGAGCAGAGCTTTTTTCTTTTCTTACCTCCCTGGCTTTTCCCTACTTCCAGTATTTGGATGTTGTTTTATGAGGATGTAATGCCTGGAGCTGTGGCAGCTATCTTGCAACCATAAGGAGATAGTCTAGGGAATGACAGAGATGCTGCCCCAAAACTCTGACATTGTGAAGCTATTCGACCATCCCTGAAAGTGCCTCCTTGAAGGCTTCCTGTGAAGTAAACAACTGTGCAGTGGTTTCCATCTCTGTTAGCCTTGTATTCTGTTATTAGCAGCTGGAGGCATTCCTAACTGACTCATTAACTTATGCATGTGGGGTCCTGCTCTCCATGGACTGCTCCAGGCTGCTGTGGTCTGCCTGGCTCATTCTAAGCCTGACCATTGGACTCTAAAGCCCAGCCCTGGAGAAGGGGAGACTAAGCCTGGAAAAGGACCTCCTGTCTACTCTTGGTGGACTCTGATTGACCTCTGCTTGGTTCCTGACAGCCCTTCCGTGAGGCTGGCTGCAGCTCAGATTCCCCCTTATGTGGCCTTGTTCAGACATCCTGGGTTGGAAACCAACACTGCAAGACTTCTTGCTATTGTGCCTCACCCATTCCTTAGACCTGATAGTTCCCACGTTCACACCTGCAGGACACACCCTTAGTACAACTTTGATTTCTGCCCCAGCAGAGGTGTCTGCCCATCTCCCAACATCTCTTCATTTGAGCCATACTGACCTGCTTCCTAATTCTCAGCAACAAGCTGCTTCTCCCCTTCCCTCATCCCTCCCTGTCCTCACCCCCTACTGCATATAGATAAACATACCTGACACACATCCTTCAAGACACAGTGTGAGCATCACCTACCCCCAAATCCTCCCTGTGTTCCAAGGACTGGTTTGGACCCCTCCCATGTGCTTCCATTCTAGGGCAGGATGTCTGTTGTTTTTGGCCGCCCAGCTCCCTTTTAACTCTTCCTTTTGCCCAGAGCCTCATGTTTACTACTGGAAAAGCCACTGCACTCCCCTCCTTTCCAGTCATGTGATTCGGGAGGGAACATCTTAGGTTTGGAGCTCTCCTGCACTGAGAGCCCTCTCAGGTATTTTATCCCGATGTGAGGAGGGAGAGGGCAACCGTGTTCCTGCAGAGGAAAACGAGGCAGACACCAGTGGAGAAGCAGAGTTGGAGATGGAATGAGAGAGCCCCAAGGACGCCATTGACATTCTCATATCCCGTCTTGCCTGCTGTCAGCATCATTCTGCCCTGCCAAGTGTGTGAACCAATAAATTCTTTTTGCTTAAACTGGGTTGAGTTGTGTTTTGCTCACTTGCAACAGGAAAAGTTCTGACTAATACATCCCCATCATAGTGTACATCACTCTTTTCCTTGTTTGTCCTTCCATCCAAACTGGGAATTCCTGGAGATTAGGGGCTGGTGCACACAGACACTCAGTAAGTGTTTGTTGAATGAATGAATGAATGAATGAATGAATGAATGAGAAAATAAGGAAAATAACTGGACTTGAAGTTGCCTCACCCTCCTTGGACTTGTGCTGTCAGGATGAACTGACTGATTTTCCTCCCAGGACCAGCCTGGCCCTATTGTCTTTGCTAGTTTTCTACAGACCCTTAATTATCCCTAATAGGCTCTGAAGCCATGGCTCACCTATTTATAATATGTCATCCTGTGTTATTTATGCTTCTAAGCCCTGGGAAAAAGTCTGAAAAATCAAAATTAAAAAATTCAATCACATGGCAAATGCTGTGGCTTCTCCACTATAGCTTTTGTTTGCATACTTTTAGTGATGGGGAGCTCACCACTTTATAAGGCAATACTTCCCATCTTAGGAAAGTTCCTTGCTATTAAAAAGTTCACCCTTATACCAAGCTGAAAACTGTCTCCTGGTCACTAATTTCCCCTCGCTGTTTCTCTCCTCTGGTTTCTTCATATTTAAAAGACTGTGCCCTTCTGCCCTAAACATACCCAAGGGGTTTGAGATCTTCCCAATCCTGGATGTGCTTTACTTTGTCTGTATCCCTCTTATAATGAGGCCCACTTGTAGCCCAACACTATTATTGATGCTGAGCTTTCTTCCCTGGTATTTCCTTTAATCCTATACCCCTTTCATAGTAACACAGCTAGAGTTGAGGCCTCCATTACCTCAAGGGAAGATTGTCACAGGTAACAGAATTTAGTATAATCCTCCATGACAGGAAAAAAAGGTGCAGACAGCAGTAGAACATTTACCTCCTTCACTGTGGAATCTATGCTTCTGTTAATGTAGCCCTAGCTAAGTCAGTTTTTTTGCTTTTATATCTTCATTTATGGAGACCTCATTCTACGTGAAGGAACACATGGAGGACAAGAAGGAGATGGAGGAGAAAGAAGAGAAGCATTTGCCATGGGAAGAGAGGAGATGGAGGGAAGCGTGTCATGGATGCATCTTTAAAGTGGGCACAAGGTAGGGTTTTTGCAGGGTTTTTAGGCTCCTGACACGCAGGTCTTCACAGGCAACACTTATGAATGTTTTCTTCACATGAGCCCAGATTTTCTGAAACATCCCGACAGGCTTCCTGATGGCAGCTCATGGCAATGACTTGGGTCATGGGACTTGGACAGCAAGCAGGTAACCCTGACTGGAACTTGATTTCTAGTGACAGAGTGATCAGCAAGAAACTTTAGCGGGGAAACACATTCAGGAGAAAGATGTCTGTCTGCCTTCCAATGAGGCTCCGGGGGACCGGCGGAGCCACACGGTTGCAGGCAGACTCCCGGGTCTCTCTCTGCTTCCTTCTGCCTCTCGGTTTACTGCTTTTTTCCACGTGAAGCCACCACCATCCTGCATTGGGGCCTTGGTTTGCTAAAGGTATCTCCTTTTATCCTGTGACCTGCTCTATTTAGGGAAGCTAAACAAGAGACCTCCATTGCCCCAGCAGAAGAGAACAAACAAGTTAAGACCTTGGCTTAGGGCTGGTGTGAGACACAGAGATTTAGACTCAGCGTTCAGACACAGCACATCACCTGTGGACGGTCAGCGCAGCTCTTCTTCCAGCCGACCAACCATCTCCCATGAATATGGAGGCGGGAGGCAGGCTTGCAGACATTTAGGGCAGTCGGGGTTGGGGGAAGAATGCGTGGAGAGGAAGACAGTTTATCTCAACCAAAGATCTTCTCCCTGGATGTTGAAATGCATACTCTCTCTTAAGTGAAGGATGACTAGTCATCTAGTTCTGGCTATTGACATACATCCACTGTTTTTGTCTCTTGTCCACTCTTTTTTGAGGTTACCATCTGAGTGATCTTTGAAAAGCACACTTCTAGTTGTATCAAGGCCATGCTTGAAAATCTTCAGCTATTCCCATTTCCTGGAGGCCATGGTCTCAACTTCTGTATGGGGAGGAGGAAGGCTGGGCTGCTGTGTGCCACTGTAGCTTATGATCTTTCCACTCTCCAGGCTGATGAGGAGCTGGCCACCTTGGTCTTTGGATGCTGGACATTTGCACATGCTTCTCTTGGTGCCTGGAGCTCTCTCTCCCCCTGTTCTGATCATCTACACAGCACAGCAACCATTCCAATGCCAAGTGGCTTAAAACAACAGCAGTTACTTATTTTGCTCAGGAACCTGCAGTTTGCGGGGAATTTTGGTGGGCTTGTCTTTGCTCCCTGACCTGCTGCGCCAGCTCGAATGGGGCTGAAGGATCCCTCCCCAAATGGCACACCCATGAGGCTGGCTGTCAGTGGGCATTCAGCCAGGGTTAATGGCCAGGCCTCAGTTCTCGGTGGGCTGCTCAGGCTTCCTTACAGCATGGTGGCTGGGTTCTGAGAGCCATAGTTCAAGAGCACCAGGGAGAAGCAGCATCATGTCTCATGACTAGCCTTTGAAGTCACATAGCGTCACCTTAAGTACACTTACAAGTCCACCAGATTGAGGGGGAGGGGACATAGACCCCATCCCTGGAGGGGAGGAATGTCAGAGCTGCAGTGCAAAAAATGCATGTGGGATTGGAGACAATGTAACCATCTTGGGAAAATAAGATCTCCTCTCTAGTGTTACTCACACTAGCCTTCAGATTTCAGCTGACATTCTCTCAAGAAGGCCTGGTCGTCTGACAGCTGGTTATTTTCAGTCTGATATCTGGACACCTTGTACTTGCCCTGTTGGAATACTGGTTCCACTCTTTCAAAGGTCCCTTAACGTCCACTTTCCCCACTAGGCTGTCCATACACGCTGGCTCTATTCTCTCCCTTTCCCCTCACTGTTTGAAAAAGGTAACCCATTTATTAGAAATCTGCATGTGCTAGGCCTTGTGTATTATTGAATGCACTATATCTAATCCTTAGAACAACCCTGCAAGGTATTAACATTATTTCCTTTATTTTATACATGTGTGCAGAGATTCAGAAGGTTTAAAGATAAATGCCAAAGGATATACAGCTAGTAAATTGGCAGAGCTAGAGTTCAAATCCAGGTTATTTAGTGAAAGCCTGTGACAGTTCCATTATATCTCCTTGCCTCTCTTGTGGCTTCTTGTACATTTTGGGGGAGATTACTAACTGAGGTTGAATATTTTCCCATATGTTTTTAGACAATTGTATTTCCTTTCATGTGAATTCTTTGCTCATGTCTTTTATCCATGTTCCTTTTTTGGAATTTATTGGCAAGAGTTCCATACAGAGTGAATTATTGTCATTGTCA